AGTATCAGATTTCCTCTGCATGTTTCAGGTTACTGCTCTGGTAGCCTCCCCTCTGAATGTTCTGAAGCCCGGAGCTCTCTGGTTTGGAAGCAGAAGGTAAAGGTAAAGATTTCCCTTGCTCAAAAGCCAGTTGAATCCGACTCTAGGGATGTGGCGCTCATCTCTGTTTCCTAGCCGAAGAGCCAGTGCTGTCCAAAGATGTTTCCATGGTCATGAGGCCGGCATGACTAAATGCCTAAATGCCGAGGCACACGGAACGCTGTTACCTTCCCACCGAAGCAGTACCTATTTATCTACTTGCAATTTCTTGCTTTCAAATTGCTGGGTTGGCAGGAGCTGGGACCAGAGATGGGAGCTCTCTCCATCATGTGGCACTCGGGTCTCGAACTGCTGAACTACCAACCTTCCGGTCTGCAGTTCAACGTCTTAACCACTTGAGCCACCACAGCCCGGAAGCAGGACTACGTTGTAAATATGCCCAACTAAACAGGGGAGTTAGTGATTTAGCATGAACGCAAGGTAGATAGACATGCTTTTGCATACCAAGCCCTTGTTGAAGGCAGATGGTTTTCCACCAGGGTGCCTGAAGTGAGGGAACATCCCAGGTAGCTAAACAAGGCTGAGCATCTGTCCCTCCCATTTCTTTCATTTAAACCTTTGAGTATCCAAAGGCTCAAGTCAAAGGGCAAGAACCAAAGGGTGCATGGTCCTTAGCCTGTGACCCTGTGTGAACCTTTCTGCTAGAACCAGAATCAGCCCAGGATGGGGTTGCCAACTTTGAATTAGGAAATACCTGGATCTTTGGGGGCTGGAGCCTAGGGAGGGAGGATTGGGGGAGGGACCTCAGTAGGGTGTAATGCCACAGAGCAGCCATTTCCTCCAGGGGAACTGATCTCTGTCACCTGGACAACAGTTTTAATTCCAGGATATCACCAGGCCCCACCTGGAGGTTGGCAATCCTAGGCCAGGATGACTGTGTACAGCAGCTGGAAGCTCCTTATTTGTATATCTGTAGTTAAGCTGTGAGGGGTTTTTTTTGTATTTTGTAAGTAAGCCACCTTGAGTCCCCAGTGTGGGAAGCAAGCAGA